CCTATTGCTTAGTATTCTCGGACACCGATTCACTCGACAAGTCCCCAAATCAGAACACAGTTGAACAGGAAGGAGATTATATTCCAAATAACAAGGTTAGATGGAAGCAAGAAGCAAGTCAGAAGCACGATAGAGAAAACGTCAATATATTTATAGTTTTTTTACATGAGAAGATTCTAGAGTATTCTCCAACTATCGACTAGTGCTAATTGAATAAGAATTAGCCAATCAGCGTGCACCAAAGCAATCGTGAATTGAGCATGCTTTAATCCGGTCTATGTCTCGCTAACACTATCAGAGCTGTTTCCAGAATGTCATCGATGGCAAAGTTGGAGAGGAATGATGAGATTGGGCAACCCTGTCTAACCCCACTGCTCGAATGGAACAATGGAGAGAGGTGGTTGTATGCCCTCACTCTGTCTGAGGTGTTTGTATATAGGGCCTTTAAGATGTTAATAAACTTTTCAGATACACCCTTCTTCAATAGACAATCCCAGAGAACAGTCCTGTCCGATGAGTCGAAGGCAGCCCTAATGTCAAGAAACACTACGATTGTTGGCCTTTGATAATTATGACGGTTTTCTAACATTTGGCAGAGAGTGAAGATATGATCAATACATCCTCAACCAGAACGAAAACTAGCCTGCTCCTCGCGAGTCAATCTTTCTCGGGTTCAGACTATGAACAATGCAATCATCAAACATCTACTTGATACAGGACATCAGGTAGATACCTTACAATCCTTTAGGGTGATTAGTAAGCAGTTAAACTCCAGTCTTTTGAAGTTTGCTGAAGCCATTGCCATCAGGCGTCAAAAACCTGACCTATGTATTCAAAAGGAGAAGTTGGCTAATCTTTCCTTGCCTTGGTGACAAATACTCTTTCACTGCACCTTAAATGTTTTTCTTTTGTATTTATTACGTCATTGATTTTATTTTATTTTTCCAACTATTTTTCAAATTAATGATATTTCAACTGAACTCTACTCACTATATTCCTATCAATGTTTATTCATTATGTAATCAATCGTTTCTAATCCACTTTTGAACTGTTGTCACAGTTAATGTTGTAGAATATTCTTTCACATTAGGTATATATTTACAATATTCAGTAAGCAAATTAAACCCATTATGTAATTATGATTTCTAAATATCACAGGTTGTAAGCCGCTGATGAGAACCTACTAAATAAAATGAATCCATGCTATTCTGCTAAAATCTTTGTTCTTGCTCTTTTCGAGATCATTTTGAATTCCTACGCTCTCGGCCTCGTTTTGCACTGTTCTTCATATCTCGATATCGTTGAGATAATGCCAGAAAACTGGGAAGATCATTTACATGGAACAGGAATAGCAATGATCTTATAACTCTAACCTAAGGAATTCCACTAAGCACTTTCCCAGCTGGATAACTCGGAGCTAACCCATACTCTTTGTTTATTATTACAAGTAGGTTTTTGTGTATCCGAAATTGTTCAAATTCGGTAACTGTCTAGTTCACGAGACTTTCAAAGACGTTACTGTAGTCAGTAATCACCACATTTATTAGTGGCTTATAATTTTTCAAAGCTTATTAAATTATTTTGCTAGTAGTTTATCAAACATAAACAGTCTGTTCTGAAACCACTATGTCTTTCGAAAAGTATCATTTTGTCATATAAATACCCCAACAACTTAAGAATTTTCTTCATTCAAATCTTAATGACTATCTTATTTAAGCATTCAAGATAATAACTTTCAGTACTATATCGCGTGCGCAGTTTGAAGGCAAGAAAAAGGTGTGACTTCTTGTAAAAGCTCATAATACATTTCATCTGGTTTTGTTGATTTATTTGCATTAAATTTACTCAGTTACCCAAGTATATCGAGTTCTTGATTGGTCAGAGTATTAAGAGTACAATCATTATTGTTGTAACTTGTCGACTACATTATAAAACTGTGGATACAACTGACTACGTTCCTCTGTATAACTGAAGGACGTACGAATGAAGTCGAAATCGTAAATAAGGATGTATTAGTACCACAATATACATTCACAACAGATGCAACCACTGATTTAAGAACCATATGAAAATAAACTGAATCGTGTATTGCGCACTTATCTGGTTAATAGGCAAATTTGAATATATTAAACTACATAGCAGTTGATTACAAATTAATCATTATTTAAATACATGTATGTCAATAAATACATCATTAAATCTAACTTCACTAACAGTATAAATAAGTTGCCAAGTTTCATTTATGCTCTTTGCTAATAACTACGATTTCATATGAGGCAGGTGTCTGTATTGTGTATATGCCGTTAAACTCCCAGAATACCTCATCTTCCACTGATGATGGTATAGAATCATCTCTTCGCAAAGCTAGGGTAATGCACTTTCTTCTGTCCAGTGGTTTGTGTCCGAAAACAGACTATTTCGGGCATTCTATATATTCCTTAGTTAGATTTTCTCAGTATCTTCTTTTGAAATCCCATAGAACTAAAAGTCAAATGTCTCTAGTCTTTAGATATTAATACTTCGTGTCACCACTGCCGAGGAACTTAACATTCTCCCGCATACTTTTCCTTTTATGAACAAGAATACGAACGTCTCTGTTGGACCATGATGGGGTATTCCCTGGTCTGCATATTGTGTCCATGAGTATAGTAGCCTTTGTTTCTGAATTCATTAAGATTTCCCAAGTCATGCCTACAAATCGTACTGGGAATACGATGTGCATAATTGCTTGCATATTTTCCTTCCGCACATTTTTTTTCTGTCCGAGGCGGACACCTTATTGCACGGAGAGTAAAAACTAACAGTGTTTAGTCACTATTAAATACCAATGAAATATGTTCGAAGTTAGTGACGTCTTGATTGTGGTGGGTTAACACGAAATTTACCAACGATAGTAATGGATTCGCTTCATACTATGTTGCTTCATTTGCACCGACAGAGAAATGGTCTCAGGATTCATGATTGTGTATATCATTAGCATTTCGCTCCCCACCAACATTCATTACTAAAGTAGCCTTTAATGAAAGACTGGTCTGGTTCAGTCAGTGTTGACGGTAAAATCTTGCTTGGGTGTTTGGGTAATATTTCATGCCGCTTTCCATTGGATACCAAAAGCCAAGGCATTCGGAACTGCCTTTATTAACTTGTTCTATCATCATTTAAAAATTCCGGAGTGTTAATTCAAAAATAACAAATATCGGACAAGTAAAAATACATACAGTAGCTGTATAGTGAAGTAAATTACTGAGAATTTTGTTCATTTACTTTAGTATGTATTAAAAAACGATTAATAGACTATTTCATCAATATGACGTTTTAGTTACAGTGAATTGCTAGAACCAGTGGTTTATTTGTATGAGATTAGGAATTTGTAGTGAAGCAAACGCACAAAAAAGTGAGAACACTGATTCAAAAATTATTTAACTATCCAACAATTTATTTGAACGAATTGCCTGGTGGTAGTAGTAGTAGTAGTAATTTCATACTACGTGGAGAAAACTTGAACTTATTTTCTCTCCACTTCAAATTTGAAAAAAAGTTGTTTGGGCCACCTATGGGGTTGCTAAAATTAGTCAAGACAAAAAAAATTCATGGACAGTATAATCTTAGTATATCTTTTTATTACTAGAGTATCCTTTAGTATCATGTCATTTTTAAGCCTATATGATGACCAAGTTTAATATTATCTTGATCTGAATATATGACTAGAAAAAGACACATGACGAATAAAACGACATACAAACAAATACACTGTACAGTTCGAAAATGATTGTCAAATAAGGTAACTCAGATATAAGACAGAGTTTTGGAACTTAGGAAAATAATTTGTGCAATGAGTCACATAGAGAGGATACGGTAGTAGTAGTAGTAGTAGTAGTAGTAGTCAGTAGCAAAATATAACAGCAATAATATATTTGCAGTTCTTATGGGTTCAAATCTAAAGATAATTAGATTCCGATCTGTTTTGAACATAAATGTTCAATAGTTAACAGGCGTTTAGTTCAATACCAATAAGCGAAATCTATGGTAAGATTAAATGGATAAAAAAAATCACATTACTTATCGAAACTCTCATGATTGTGTTCTTTGAGTAACTAACGTACAAAGAGTCGTTGACAATGAATATTACAGCCGTGGTAGTCAGTGAAAGGCTGTTGGTCTACGTATGTTACTCTAAAGCCTTTCATTTTGTGTGGGTATTTGATGTAAAAATCATAAACATTTCTGTTTGTGTGCCGGTTTGCGAAATGTCAAATTTCATTCACATAAACTAAACAAATTCTTCTTTTAGAAATTCAACGCCAACAAACTTTCTAAAAATCTCGGTGTCAGTGTTCAAAGAAGGCATAATAGAAGACATGACTTTGATAATAAGTATCATTAATTATTAAATTTAGGAAAACATTAGCAGGGTGATGGTATTCTTTGTTCAATTATTCTCCTTATCATAACTACACCGTAATATGTTTAACAACATTAATAAGATTGATATTAATGACGTAACGATATTTTAGATAATAGTGTTACGAATTCAAAAGTGTTTATGAAAGTAAATTACTAATGATTTTTTCTAAAGATCCTGACTACAAGAAACTTTACGTTTATTATTCTTAATGTAGACATTCGATAGTGTGACTGAAACAATAGTTTTGGTTGATTGGAGAGGTATGCAAATGGAGGTTAGGAAGGAATGAATATTTTCATTTTCTTAGTGTTTATCTCTGTTGACGGGATCGTACTTCTAGAATGTAGTCCCCTGTTCGCAATTTTCCTCTCGTTGATCTTTCTGTCACTTGTTAACCTTAGTTTCGAATCATCACGTTTGTCCAATCACAACTCGGTATTATGATAGCTTTTGTCCTACAATTCATTGTATCTACCAATCACCAGTCCAGTATGAATTTTGTACAAAATCGTTCGCTTTCTGATTGGCTGTTCAATCATTTCTTTTCATTAATTCAAATGGAATACTCCTAACCCTGTCGATCAAAAAATACTTTAGAACGTGCTAGGTATAACTAAATAACCTGGGTTGTTACAACGATTGGCACATGGTTTACTATATAGACAATAGATTTGACTTACTCTTATTGGACAAATGTTTTGCTAAGAGTTTGTCTATTTCATCTACTATCGATCTGTTTGCGTATTTTATATGGCAACACGTGTCACCTTGACAACGCCTAACGCGATTAAATTGAACTAGTCATCATTTTAGTATAGATTTATGTAGTCGTTTTTAAGTAATAACGGAAGTTGTAATTACAATAATTCGCTCTCTTCATGGATGTGGATTATCCAGAAACGTCATTTACGGTAAGCAAATCTCACACAGTAAGATAAGTTATTTTTGTTCTGCGAAGCTGTGTATACACCTTTCGAATTCTATCATAAATGTCATAACTTTTCGTTTTTATGTATACTATTCAGATTCCTGATTTTATCCATCTATCTGTGTGTGATATTTTATTTTAGCGACGGTTGAATTTAAATATGTTTTATCCATAGTGTGTTAAAACTAATAGTCCAATTACGGAAAGAGCTTTAGAAATTTTATTGTTTTAGAACCCAAAGTGATGAATTGTGATAATAATGTTTATACTTTTTGGACTAATTGTTCAGTAACGAAGGCTAGTTACTTTGTGTTATAATTCACCATACCATAAATACATAACTTTTTCAGTCTAATTAGACTCTCAAGGAAACCCTTAAAAGATAGACTTAAATGTAAACATTTAAACTTTTGCTATGAAGGGAACCAGTTAAACGATTTTAGGCAGCTAGTAATTATGTTCATTATCTAAACCAAAGTATTTACCAGTGAGAAAGAACGACAGAAATAGACTTTTACCACTACTTTAAATAAATATAGCCTTAGTAATTGAAGTTCTTAATATTTCACATATTTTGGTACCATCTCGGAGTATGATTTTGGTAATCGTGATGTGTGTATTTTAGTATAAAATGAGGTATTTTTGAGTCGGACAGAAAAAAACTCTGACGCTGTAATATTCACTCATTCAATACAATCCGTGAGGAAAATTTTTGTTGACAGTTCTTTAAACACTAATTCAATTTTGTGTAACTACAGATTTTTCCTTTACAGTACATTAAATACTATGACTTTCAAAGTAGAGCCATTAGTTAACTCATCATCATTTTTCGAAATCCGAGTATTGATACATCATTAGTTAAATACCCAATGCCTCAAATTACTTTCTGGCTTATATGTCCATCTATTTCATCTTGTAATTGGAATCAGAATCCTCCTGATACTTCCTTTTAGAGATTACATACTAAACAGTGAAATTCTTGTTATTTAGAAAGGTATATCACGTTTTCTTTTGAAAAGATACTAGATTCGAATCGTGCTAAACAAGGTTTTTATTCGCCCTATTGAACATTTGTACATGATTTCAACCATCTTTTATGTCATTTGTTTAAAGGACTTCCAAGTTTTTGAATTACTCGGCCGTGGAGGCTTCGCACAAGTCTATCGTGCTAAATCCACGATTACCGGGCAGGAAGTTGCTATTAAGATGGTATGTTCCTTTCTTATTTTCTAAATATTAAAATTTTAAAGATTACCTCACATGTTGTATAACTATTTTTCATATCACCTGTTACATTTTAGTTTTGATGCTCTTACAACAGTGTAAGTTTTTGCTTTACATAGGACTTGAACTATCTTTCCCAAACCAATAGATTTATCCAAAAATTAGTTTTATAATTGGCAGCTTACTCCTCTAATTCACATGAAATACACACATGTACATGATAATTATTATTTGTCAACGAATTTTGAATTTCAAGATAAATTAATCTATATCTTAACTAATAATTTTCATTTATATTAAGATGAATCTATAGAACTACTGTAGATTACTGGTCATAGCTTTCTGATAAAGATTTAAACTTGAACTACTCCAAGTAATTTTATTTTTCATATGCGTTAAAAATTATTTGTTTTCTTACTAAACTATGACATGAAATAGTTATAGCGAATCCCATCAAAAGATAACTTGCTTTATCACCATAAAGTAATAGTTTGTAATTGTTCATTTATTATTATTATTTGCTGATTCATATAAAATACTTCGTAATCTAATAGTACTAATTAACATAGGGTCATATGAATTAATTCCTTCCATTATGTTTAATAAGTTGGTTGTAAGTCAGTGATTCAGTGTTAAGTTGAACTAAATCGAATAATGTTCAGGATAATATCACTCACAATTATCGATTCACGTTTAGTATATCATTTTTACAAAAAAAAAAACTACTTGATCTGAAGTTTGTGCTGATGATGTCGTTCAGAAGAACGATGATAGCTCCGCGACCAAACCATCCATCTCAGAGAACAAAACTCCGTCAAAGCCTACTTGGTCATTTAGAAATCTTTTTGTATGTATATATATATATATATATATGCAGTAATAGTAACATATAACTGTATACATTACAAATAATTTTACATAACTATTTATCTATTGTTTTGTTAAACTTACGTTTAGATCGATAAAAAGGGTATGCTCCAACATAGACTTGCCAACCGTGTACGCCGTGAAGTAGAAATACATAGCCGTCTCAAACATCCTTCAATATTGGAGGTTAGTTACATTGTGAGATGTTTGTCCGAATCGTTGCAGTTTTTTTTAAAATTGTTTATCGGTCATCTGCATACATTTTTTTGTTTACAGTAAATATATTTAAATTAAAACAAAAGTAGTATGTATTATATATCATTTAGTGAACCAGTAATAGACATCTAAGAATTTGTGATGAATGCGTAGCTAGTCAAGCTTTCACATCTTATGCAGCGAAATAGGAAAGTTCAAAAAATGGAAACGAAAATGAAAATAGTATCGGTTGAAGAAGGGACTAAACCAAAAGGAATAAACAAGATGAAATGATGAAAAGTACATAATAACGGTAAACTCAAGATTGTTCTTCGAGTAAAATGTTATCAGACGTGTTAAACTTTCGTAAAAGGATACTTTCAAGTATATTCATCACTTTACAGTTTGTTTGTTTTAATTCTCTATATCTTAATTTATATTTAAAATTAAAATTAATTAAATTCTATTCATGAAGACAATGACAATAAGAAAAACAACATTGATCATAATCTTGAACACAATTTCAATTTTTTTTTTACAGTTGTATACGTGTTTTGAAGATGAAAATTATGTTTATTTGGTTTTGGAAATATGTCATAATGGAGAATTACAAACTTATATACGTCAAAATGGCCCTGTAACTGAAGATACTGGTAGGTAATTAGTTATTTGAAAGTAATAAAATCTACTCGTTTCATCAAAGAATAGTTTTTAACACTGAAATTAAAATTATTTAAAGTTATTTATGTAATCTATTCCACTATTATCATTGACTCATAAACTGCATCGATGGGTTTAATCATTTCGTATATGCATATAAATATTACGGTATATTAGAGGATGATGATGAGGATCTGAAGGAAAACAATATTGTTCGCTAATATATGTTGTTCTAAATTTAAAATTTGTATGCAATCGTCTTTTTAATGGTCCGTGCATTTATTTATTAATGATTGAGAATGATGTTACAGTAATGAAGAGGTTCAGGATATAGTTCGACCTGTATTGTGTACGTATTTTACAAAAATTTAATCTCCAACATGTATTATATCATACTGTGGTGTGTGCTACTGTAGTATGTATCGTCAATCGAAAGTGAAGTGTCTGGCGGTAGAAGGATAAGAAGATCGAAGGAAAGAAAACAGGGAGTGATTGGTGTGGAAACGAAAGAACAATGAAGTCCGAGAAGATTGATTGACATTTTGCAGAAAGAACAGTCAAGTTTGAGACAGTTGATTGATATTTTGCAAATAAGGAATTTACTGTATGATCCTCAGATTTTGTCAAGATGTTCTGTACTTTTGTGTCCAAATACAATCGATTGTCCCCACTTTTGTTCTCGTTCACTACAGAACTATCAGCAGTGATCCAGTTATTCGTAAGATCGCTTGTCGAAGTAAAACTTCTGATTAGTGTTGTATATTTCTTATTTTATGATTAGGTAGCTGAATAGTCTCATACTTCTAAAACAGTAATTCACAGCTAACGTGCAAATATTTCATTATAAATTTTTATCGATATATATTTTTCAAAGTTTATTAATTAACCAGCTGAGAAAATAAAAATCATTTTTTCTAAACTCGAGTTTGTCCCTTGCAGTCACTTAACTGTTTTGAAGGGACTTCCCGGTCTTCCACATTGTCCGGAGATCCAATATCCCTGTGTTTAATGTTACTCTGGTTACCAAAACAGGCGTTGACTTCGTGGCTTCCACAGACGCGTTTTTCACTTTGAGGTGTCATAACTCTTCTATATGAACATTTTACCTCCCAGGGCAGTTTAACTGGTTTCTCCTAGGAGGGCTCACTTTTGCGAGGTGAGGTTGCTAACCCTACACACAACCCTCCATCTTTATCTAGTCTCGGGACCTGCGGTACACCTAGGGAAGCTCCAGGCGGCGTTACGGTTACTTAGTTATCATGTTATATGTCTGAGGTGAATTTTTTTTAGTATGCCAATATTTAGGTAGTGTGCATAAAAAGTATCTCACCCTTGGTTTTTGAAGCAAAACAATTTGAGATTTTCACGTTAGGCTGTTTTTGTTACTGTATGCGTGTTAAGTTTTGGTCGTATGTTGTTATTTTTAAGTTTATGATTGGATATTTTCCTGTTTTTTCTCTCGTTTCAAATTTGAATAGCTCGACATTATTTAAAACAATTGATCAGTGGTCTTCTTTATTTACATTCACACAACATACTTCACAGGGATTTAACTTTGGCAAATCTTTTGCTAACTAAAGATATGAAAGTTGTAAGTGGTGCAGTTTTTTTTATTATTTCTTGATGTCAAGGCTACTCGTCATTGTCTATTGATTTTATAGCACATTAAATTTTATTGATATATTTTATGAATGTACCCTGTACAAACACCTATTTCTTGAAAATTGTGATGGTCTCAAGTCTTGTTCACGAAACCTGTGATGACGGTCTACATATTCTGCAATATTTTTAAGATTGGAATTCCTTTCGTTTTGAAACTTGTTCATCATTTACTCTCCTGTTCATTTTAAATAACATGGCTCCATATAGACCTGTTATTTTTCAAATTGTTACTTTAAGCATTTTATAACTACAAAATTATGTTATATGCCTAATTATTTCGGTGAATATTTGTCCTCAAAATCACTAGTTTTCTGTTTCTGGTTGCATCCGATCACCAAATTTCTTCAAATTGGTTCTTTATTCCTTCAAAATTGCTAAAGAAAATTCGGTCCCAAGATGTGATGTTTCTCATTTTAATTCTATATCGACTGAATGGCTAAATGATAAAAACAAATTGTGTTTTAGTTTTTCTTTCTTTGAAAAACCGAATAAGCCTCAGTATTTGTCAGCCCGTCACTGTCCATAAACGATGCTTAGAGTGTTTCGTTTACCTTGTATGTTCTGTTTTCCACATCAAAATGCATTTGATGATTCACTCATGCCCACTTTTTCAATATTTATATATGTCATCAGTTTGTATACTAATGTCAAGTATATACTTACATTTTAATTTTGCTACGGGTTGTAAACTACCACTAATACTGTATTATGAAATCATCTCAATATGTCACACCATTCATGATTTGACATATCCATCGATTTTGTCCATAATGCTCATTTTGAAGTACCCTAGAAATCATGTACTTTCAGAAAGCGTAAACTTAAATTTATTATTATCACCTATCAGTTTTTATCAACCTGATCGTGCCTGTAAAATGGCATATTTTCTGTACTAATTTTCGGAATTTATTATCATTACAATTATTATTATTGTTTTTATTACTATTTACAGACTCCTCAAAATATAGATGTACCATTAATTTCACAATATAACTCAACTATTAGGTACCAAAACGAATAAATTAATCGATGCACCTTCGAGTTCCATTTCATAGGTAATTAAGTCCAATCAAAATCAGCTAATGACGAGTTATCTAGCTAAGTTTACCATCTGTTTATGGGAAGCTCAAAAGTCTAATTCACTACTATTAGTAGTAAAAGAAGATAAGGGATAAAAATAAATTACCTCTCATAAGTAATTATTTTTCATCCTACTGAATTAGTTGGTAGTATATAGTAGGTCTTTTTAAGATAGCTACTTTTAATTTAAGTATTTTAATTGACTTTTGAGTCAATGACACTCATAAGGGATTTTATTACATATATGCTGTTTACAGCTGTCCTCTTGGAATTCATAGTAAAATTCTTTATCTCCTTATTGGAATAGAAAATTGCTGACTTTGGATTGGCTACTAAAATTGAGCCAGGTGAAGATCACAAAACAATGTGTGGGACGCCAAATTATATTTCCCCGTAAGTGAATTGTTTATATTACTAATATTCATGTAATGTACACACCCATGTGAATGTAACAATATGTTCTCATACTTATTTCCTTGCATATTCGGGATCTTAACTGAAAATGCTACTATTTATTTGCTCTTTCTTTTCTAAAGGGAAGTCGCTAGTCATAATCAACAGGGTTTAGAAACTGATGTCTGGTCGTTAGGGTGTATGTTTTATACGCTAATTGTTGGTCATCCACCATTCGATACGCGAGAAGTTCGTTCAACTTTGAATCGTGTCTTAGCTGTCGATTATGAATTGCCATCAACTGTTTCCTCTGAAGCAGCTGATTTAATTAATTCTTTACTTCGACGTGAACCTCAAGAACGTCTCAAGTTGAAAGCAATCATACAACATCCATTTATGTTAAAGAAATCACGTCCTCAGCGTCACATGGTGAGTACTTTTGTGCACATCTATAAATTGTTTGTTTTCAACATACTTTTCTTGTTGATGTCTTGTAGACGCGAGAGTGTGTGAATATCAGGTTTACTAGAGTATTTGAGAAAAGGTATGTCTTTACTAGATATAACAATTAGCTATAGATTTATGACAATGGTCGATGGATTTCCTGTAACGAAAGTCCGTGTTCTAGATTTGTATTCATTCACTCACTAAGTATCTGCAATCTCTTCTCAAAGAAGTTGGAAAGCTTTACTCATTCAAATTATCAATGACTTTCGTTTGCAATTTTGAACCATTCTACTCACTCGAGTGTTACGTCAGCAGTCTTTACACTAAGTGTAAAATATTTACGTTTTTCTGCTTTGTTATTGAAAACATAGTGATTGTTTCTTTTTTATAGGGTTTAAATAGTTGATTTTGTTAAATATGAGAGTACTTGTTTCCTTGATTTATGCATGTTGATGTCAGGGTCGATGAAATGTGGTTAGCAGTGGAATCAAGGATGTGTGTTTCGCTATATTTTTGACTCGTCAGCTGGATGAATCTGCATCACAGAGTTGATGCTCACTAAGGGACTCGAATCCATCACCGTTTGCTCCAAACGCTATCTCATTTAACCACTTAGCTACTGGTTTACACAGGTTGATATAACCATGTATAAATATTCTCTATTATCATTTATTCACTTGGCCGCGCATCTAATACGGAGGTCATAATTTATTAACGTTTGAAAATAACTACATTTGTGTTCAGTTACCTATCCATATTTCCTGCAAATCTCTAACTTGGATTCTTTTTGTTTTTAGAAAACGTCTAATGACAGTGGGATTGATTCAATTTATCGCACACCATTAGGACACTTATCCAACAGTCTTAAATCCCATCATCTTCGCAAAGTGAAGTGTAATGAATCTAACACTCACCCTTGTAACACTCCAATTTCTACAGCCATCTCAGATACCCAATGTGATACAAGTATCCCTTACTTTTTGGCACCTGCACAATCTCATGCAGTTACCAGTTGGGATCCTGCGATTAATGTCCATAAAGATGTACAACGTCCCACCGAGCAGCTTAATACTCATCCAAATATCAGACATACATGTTACTCTGACGGTGCTTTTGAACAGTCCCGTTCGGTTTTCTCACAAGTGTCGGATTCAGAAATTAAGAAATCACTATTAAGTAATAGTAATCAACATGTGAACTCAACAGTTAACCGGCCTTATAACAATTTATCTGGTCTTCCTCTTTCCTCACCTTCACATCCAACTGCTACAGAGGTCATAACAACGCAGCATGCTGATTGTGTGAAAGGTGACACTAATATTTCCAGATCCGAGTTATCATCTAAAAGTAGTAGCAAGCCATTCTCAGCCCATCCCTTACCATTAAACACGTTTCGCTTGAAGCCAATGAGAACATATACACGTCTAGCTGTGATTAACATTCTACAGGATGAGTCTGTTTGCCTGGAATTTTTAGGAGGTTCAGCTAAAACTCGGCAAAACCAGACTTCAGTAACAAAAAGCAGTCAGAACTTGCGAGTTGTTGAGGTGATGGGTATCAATAATACTGGACAAAATATTTTGATATATAGACCAAATATGGGAAAAGGAGTACCGTTAAATGTTCAAGGGCTCGGTGACCCATCTCAATCACATTTAGCCAACTCTGAAACCACGAACTTTGGGAGTCCTCCACCTGCATCGCCAGGTGATCCACTCGAGTTTTATACTTTAAATACCTTACCTCAAAAGTACTGGCGAAAATATCAATTTATTTCCAAGTGAGTACATTGGGTTTATTAGTTATCGATGCATAATATATTTTTTATGTATCCGATGTCAATTGGGGGTTAATTTCTCATCATCACTGATCATTATCTGAATACTGTTGAAGCTGTTGGTTATCAGTCAAGCATTCAATTTCCAGTCAATAAGCCACAGATTTGCATCCGTCTTCAACTAATAATATGTAGACAACAAAGTGATACAAGTCAGTGCACCTTCGTGACTGCTAAAGTTTTTGTTATTTGAGTTGTATGTCATTCCTCGATTAGTGTTATTTTTTACTTGTGGATGGTCTCCTCGTCTATGAAAGTTACTACCCTTTAGCAACATTAAATTATTGTACTTAGAAATAATATTTATTTATTTATTTGTTTCAACACATAAATTTTGGTACAACAGGGCACCAAATATATATGCGCCACACAATATTTGTGTGTGTGAGCTGTGATATTGCCCGGGTTCCCAGACCGAAGCAGGTGATTTTCTTAGGGGGCCACACCCCGAGCCTTTGACCCAAAGGTCTGACCCACAAGGCAGTGGAGCATCGTGAGGAGATGCATTCCCATGGTAGCCGGTGACCAACGATTGGTCCATACGCCATTCGTTCACTCAGGATACTGGAGCCCATGTTCACCGTTGGTTTGGGATCCAGTTAAAGCGCCGGACATTCGCTTTTCGTTCTCTCATTTTCGTAAACAACACTTCCGCCACGAGAAGGCAGAAGACATCTTTTCACTGTATCGTTTCAGTGTGTTAGCGGGACATAGACTGGATTAAAGCGTGCCCAATGCACGATTGCCTTGGTGCACGCTGATTGGCTAATTCTTGTACAATCAGCACTAGTCGACACTTGGAGAGTACTCTGAATCTTCTCATGGAAAAACTATAAATATACTGACGTTTTCTCTATTGTGCTTCTGACTTGCTTCTTGCTTCCATCTAACCTTGTTATTTGGAATATAATCTCTTTCCTGTTCAACCGTGTTCTGATTTGGGGACTTTTCGAGTGAATTTGTGTCCGAGACTACTAAGCGATAGGAATAGCTGGGTAAGAGAGAAATATAACACAGTGGTTAAAAATGATGAACTTCGATTCGTTATAGCATTCATACTTTTTATCAATATTTATGGACGCATACATCTGTAATGCTTACAAGTTAATTACAAAAATCATTAATATTTAATTAGTTTCTTTCAATTTTTAGACGTGTTTTAACTTAATAAGATCTCATTTCAGAATATTGTTTTAATAGCTTTCATTTTATCATCTATACATGCTATTAGATTCGTTCAGATGGTTCGTGCTCATACTCCTAAAGTAACACTTTACACTAATAAAGTCAAATGTATGCTCATGGAAAATAGTCCATCAGGAGATTTTGTTACTGAATTCCATAATGATGGTACACGGGTATTATGTACTTCTGATGGATCATTACGTATTACTCAGACAACAGAACAGGACAATTCATTGAAAGTTAAAACGAATATTACACCCACAACAATTACTCTTGATTCAAATCGAAGTCTTTCAACGCTTTCTCCAGAGATAAGAAAACTTATAGATTATGTATATGCCGTAAGTTGTTTCATTTTACCAATAATTACTGCAGCACAAATACTTTTATGACTATTAAATTGTCATTCATACGTTATATTTATCAATGATTTTTAATAGGTTATTGTTATACAAATTTCGGTATACAGGAATTAATGGACATCTATTTTCGATTGAAAAAGAGAAAACCTGTATTGCCTATGATGAGATACGTTCTGATAAGTTTTCCATCCCATTACTTAAAATCACTAGCGGTCCAATTTGGACAACATATTTTAGTGACAGAATGCTCGTTATGATATCTGGATACCACGGATTCTCTTTTTTGAATGCTTAAAAAGTTTTACAGATATAAAATCCCAAATCATGACCAACTAAACTGTCCACTAGTTACCAGTAGTACATTTTTATTTATTTATTTATTATTATTATTAGAAGCTTTATTCAACATTATATTTTTGGTACAACATAGAATTCTCAGCATAAAGTATTTCAACAAGTTTCCTTTTCTTATACCTTGATCTATTGTGACGATAAATTTTGAATGATGACCGGTTAGAGGTTAGGAGTTCGGTAATCCACATTTAATTAATGTTCAATCGTTTCAATGCATATTGCCAGCCACCATGATGTCGCTGATTGTACCTTTTTGTATCACGTATAGCGAAAGGTTGTAAACTTTTCATAAACGCGCCTGAATAAATTGTGCGCACAATAGACATAATGATGTGCTAAAACAAACAACAAAACAGATAACTTGATGAAATATCTAGATCGGAGGAACAGGTAGCCCAGATATTCAAGCAGGCCGCTCTCAAACCAGACATTTAGAGCGATGGGCGGAACACTTTAAGGAACAGTTCAGCTGGCATTCAGCTCATCTACAACTACCTACCATTCCCAAACAGCCTGAATAGAACACTGAAGTAGGTCCCCGACTATGATTGCAGTTCAAAAAGTTATAGGTAATCTGAAACGAGGAAGAGCAGTTGGTCCAGATGGATTGGTTCCAGAGGTCTTTAAGAATGGCGGTCCAGTTTTAGCGATTAGGCTGACTAATATTTTAGCTAAAATCTGAGAATTGGACGTAATCCCATCTGGCTGGTCACAATCACTGATTATCCCAATATGTAAGAAGAGGTCAAAATTATCCTGTGATTAGCATACAGTGATTAGTTTAATTAATATAACATCTTAAATACTAGCTTCAATAATTATCAGGCGCCTAACAAAGACTTGTGAACTACCAACACGAGAATACCAAGCAGGCTTCAGACCTGGTCGTGGCTGCACTGACTACATTTTCACCACTCATCATTTTTTAGAATACAGGCATGCTTATTGGCGTCTGACAATGGTGGTCTTTCTTTACCTAAAAGCAGTATTTGACTCTGTAGACCGAGAGGTTCTGTGGCAGTGTCTGTCATTGAAAGGCGTACCTCAAAAGTGCATAAACCTTGAGAAAGCTCTTTACTCGAACACTACCACTCGAATGACAGCTTATGGCGAACTGTCGTCTGATTTTACAACCTCAAGTGTTATCCGGCGAGGCTGTCTACTACCTCTATTTCTGTTTAATTTAATCATAGACCTACTACTGGAAATAACGTCCTCGTCGACTGAGTTTTGAGGAATTGACCTCGTTCCAGGTGGTCCACTTATCGACTTAGAATACGCAGATGACATAGTCCTATTTGGTGAAGACGCTGACAAAATGCAGAGCCTTTTGTTAGTACTGAACAACAACAGGATGTTTGGGGTGTGTTTCTCCACATCTACATGTGAATCGTTGCTTCAGGACTGGCCTGCATCAACACCTGAACTAAGGATGGGTAGTAAATATCCCTTGCATCTGCTTGGATCACCTGTTAAGTAATAGTGAGGTTAGACTTGGTGTATCAGGGAATGATGGTAAATCATTGATGAGGTTGTAAATCTTCATCGACTGAGGTTGTTGGACGAATTATTCCTTTATTTTTGTATCATGTCCTTATATGAGATGTTTTTTACTACTGTTGAATTAACTACTTCTATGGATTTGGCGTTCATCTTGTTTTGCTAATGAGGTGTGCAAACTGGAACTGATGCATATGTGTGCCTGGTTCCTATATCTTAGCTGTCTGACTTATTGAGATGCACGGACTGATATATGGAAAAAAATTTGGAAATGCATATACTATTGGAATCTGTTCATAAAGATAACGTAGTAAGTAAAGCTTATGTTTTCAGTTAGATCATGCGCTTCAGTGAAGGCTATTAAGATGCTCTAAGGCTCTGACAATCATAAAGCTCCTATTATGTTGAAAATTTCAGAGGTGATTGTTAATTAACTCAGTTTGAATATATATATATATATATATATTACCACCTAGTTCAAATTTACTTTCATAGTAAATTAGGGTTGATTTACTACTCTACTTTTTATTTGTGAATTAGTGCCGAGATCATTGCCGAAAAATTGAACAACTATTAGCCAGAATGGATTCAGAAGATACATCAGTTTTATCTTGTTCTTCATTTCCTGTTATATTAGGACATCGTCCTAATACAGGTTTTAACCTGATTACTTCGTCACAGAATTATCCAAAACCGACATCATTCACGAATGTGATAACGAATGAATTAGGTGATCAAGTTTCATTATCTTCACAACTGTATAATTTAATATCTGATTGTTTGAAAGAAAAATATAAAAATCCTTTATCAGAAAATCAAGCAAAACATGATCATTTGCCTACAAATGCAGTATTCGTCCCGAATGTGGGTTGGGCAAGCCAATTTAGTGACGATAGACTTCAAGTGCAATTTAATGATGGAGCCAAACTCTTATTAGTTTATAACCGAACTTTAGTCTATTCTATCCATTATTCTGCACCTCCTGAACACAATCAGGAACTACCAAAAGAATATGTGTACAACACATCTGATCCTCTCCCAGACCATATTTATCGAAGGTTAGAGGTAATGCCAACCGTTATCAATCAACTTCGTACAGTTGCCAACAAAATTATTTCTTGAAATTGTACAGAATAAATATACTTTCCCTACAAATTAGCATCAAGTATGGCTGTGAAAATTCTGTTTTTATCTAAAATTTTCAATTTCTATGGAATTATCATTCCACGTTCATACCTGTTCTTTCTTCATCTAAACTTTTGAAAAATTAATCCATCACTCATAAAAATTTCCTTTTAGTTACCTTTCTTACTTTATTATTTGTTCATGCGTACTCCTTCAGTTTTCTTACTGTATCATCGTTCCAGTATTTTTCAGATGGCGCCTGTCCTAAAACAGTTTTTTTTGTTAAATATATTTGTCTGTAAATAACTTGACTTACGATTTTTTTATTGGTTCATACTACTGTACGCATCGTAGAAATGTTGGTAGAACAAGATGTCACCTTTTCATAACACTATCTTAAATTACTGTTTAGTTCTCTTCTTTAATTATTCATAATCAACAATCCTGACAAAAGTGTACGTTAGCCCAAGTTGTCATACCAAGTTAACATTGAGTGATGAAATTAATAAGAGGAATGGCGAAATGGTCAAAATACTGATAATACCTGTGGTAATAAAGAATATTAAACATTAGTCTTCCGTAAACGTTTGGTCCAGGGGCCTAGAAGACGTCACTGTTCTCTTTACGGCAGTATGTAAATCATGCGTGGTCGCTGTAATAATACTAGTGGCACATTGGAACAATGATTGGACCTTAAAAGAAGTGTTGACATTAGGGATAGTAGAAGTAAAGAAGAGATTTGATCATGGCCAATGTGATCTCGAGTGTTTTTGAAGGTGTGCAGACAGTTTTTACTCACCTGTTTCTCCAAATCGTGGGAAGGATACTCTTTAGTGAACCTGAAAAAATCGGTTTGAAGTGACCGTAGAGCTTAAGATGCAACTGTTTGAGTATAATAGGTTCATAACCAACGTTTGACTTGGTAATTTCAAATAAATTGAGCATTCGGTAGATTGTTACAAATATATTATTGTATTTATTGTTTGAGTATAGGTTTCGATGCGTTAGCTTCATATTTTCAAGGCCATATCGCCAGTGACAGAAATCAGTGAGACAAGGTGGAATGTGCTATATTTAAGGCCGATTTTTCCTAAATTCCTGTCGTTGTGGGAAGCTAACACCACTGAATAGGCTGATGATCTGTGGGGGACAAATTATTGCCACCACATCTCACTGAATTTGACAGCACAACTCCGTCGGACTCTAATTTGCTGCTTTTAGTTTTACTGCTCTCCAACCGACCTGAATGACATCAGGACTTAAAGAAACAAGTGTTCCAGTCAATATAATTCGATTTACCATCAAGATAGGGAAACCTAACCACCTTGTCACTGGACAAATATACAACAACATATATAAGCGAACAATATTGTTTTCGATTAGATCCTCATCAGGCTTTACTCTAATATATAGTAATATTTATATGCATATACGAAATGATTAAACCAATCAAGGTAGTTTATGAGTCAATGATAACAATGGAAAAGATTACATAATAAGTAAAATGTGAGAAGTACAAATTGATGGTGTGACAACAGGTGCATTACTTTTGATAAAAATAATAAAGGTTCAAATCAATGTTACATAATCTGAAATAGGTCAATGATTAGAAAAATATAAAAACTAAGATAACAGTTATAAAATTATAAGATGACGTAATAAGAAATGTTCAGATAATTGGACCATGAAACGTATAGTTGAGAGAAAATAAAGTGGTAGGAGGGTGTGAAGAAAAATAATAAACGAAGAGAAAGTTAGAAAAAGAATAAATAAATTCATTTATTACTTAAGGCCAGGGGAGTGATAAGGGTGTTACAAATTTCTTCTGAACACAAAGACTTGGCTTGTTGGCTCGGATTCCTATAGCTTCTGCTATGTGTAAGAGATGAGATCGAACACCATAAGGAAAACTAATGGGAATACGATAAATAACTTTGAACGACTTGTTTCTGTCCACTATATGACCGCTATCGATCAAGTGTGATAGAATCGAGCTGCGTATTGTTTTGACGTAACCTTTTCCTAACCACGAAGTGAGGTGTTCACTAACTCGTTGGTTCAGTTGCCTGGTAGTGCGCCCAATATAGCTTTCTCCACAGGAGCAACTGAATTCGTAGATACACATAGAAGTGGCATAGCCAGGTAACTTACCCTTCAATTTCGGAATCACCATCGATCGGGTCGAATACGATAGGCAGAGGTTGGCAGCATTAAACGTTCTCTTTACTGCTCTATCCCGTAATACACCGCTAGCCAAATTACCATTCAATTGGAGTTTCAAGAAAAGCGGTTTCTTATTAGCCGTCAGAGTCACTATTTTCCTGTTTTGTACGCGCAAATGTTTCTTCAGGAAACCCAGTGGATATCCCAATTCAATCAAAATATTATGAATGTGTTGTAATTCTCTATCAATAGTGTCGACTGAGCATATCTTAAGAGCTCTATTTGCAAGACATTTGACTACGTTTCTCTTATAATGAAGAGGCACAAAGCTTAAAAAATGTGTGTATTGGCTTGGAGAAGAACTTTTTCTATACACACCTCTGCTGATAGAACCATTTTCTTTTCTACCTAACAAAACGTCCAGAAAATTTAGTTTGTTATCTATTTCCTCCTCATACAACAGCAAAGATCAGTAAACGGATAATTTTACCCGATATAAGGATTAACTCCGAGATAACGAACAGATTATTAAGATCACTAGGAATAAGTATGACCTACAAGCCGGCATATTCTCTGCAACCAATGCTATTCAGACCAAGGGACACCGAGAAATGGAGACAAGGCCAACATCATCTAAAAGATAAACATTTGTGATACACTATATGTGACAAAGTTACCTCCTCTTCATCTAGGTCAATATGAACTCCAGTTAGCTATTGAACAACACGACAAAGCTTCACTCATCAGTGCATTTGGACATGAATTTGACTGGGACAACGTTGAGAAGTTGGAGAGAAGAAACACCATGAAAGTCGGTGATAAATCTTGCAAATTGAACGCTATATTCGTTTCCTAAGCTATTCTGAAACCCCCAAGCTTGAACTATACAGCGACCTGAACAACAAGAGAGAAGACACAAAGTATGCGAGAAGTACTTTACTCCAAGGTTCATTTTAACACAGAAAATATAGGGATTTTATAATATTTTTAAATGTCCTTGGGTTGCTCGAAGATTCTGGAATGCTACTAAACATTGTAGCAGTATAGCAGTCAGCCAATCAGAACATCTACATGTGACGTTTCACTTGTTTGATATTTTTGGCTAAAACTTCAAGTGAACGCTGATTGGATGGAACGCTTCTTAGTGTTTCCTGTTGCTTGCTTGTCTTTTGCAAGCAATTTTCTGGATCACTCCAACAGTCGGGGAATTTCAAGAAGCTTGGTACTCTAATTAAACATCATTCAATAAACACATAGAAGTCGACCAAACCTATCAACCAATCAGAAAAAGGGTTAACAACGAGGTTAGATCTGAGGTCTGGGGAGAAAGCAATATGAGTAGACATACAAGTCACAACTACGCAACTATGGATAACAACCTATCAAATTCCAGGTCGACAAAATAGACTGTCCGTCAATTGTGGAGAAATCCTAGTTGCTCACTTTTCGAAATGAAAGCCTCACAATAAATCCGTCCAGCTCAGAGACTGCAACAACTCTAACATCCTCATCCCTTGATACAAATATTCTCGATCATATATTTCAAGCGAGTTAATGACAGGAATATTATCGTGAATAAAGACATTACTGGTCAACAGAATTTTAATGATTGCTTTACAACTTGGTCATACTCTCAAAACAAAAAATAACTTCCCAGAATATCCTGTCGAAGCCTTTATATCACAGATTGACTTCCAAACAACGAAAACCCAGATTGGCGTTGGCGCCACAACATATTTAGTAAAACTCATAAGGCTTTGTACTGAAAATAAGTCATAACCTTGCGAGAACTATTCCAACAGTACTGATGACAGAAACCGTTACGTCACAAATATACCCGTATTGTTTTCAACTGCACGGTGACTAGTCTTTTAAAAGCCTAAACTTTCTAAGAACAAATGTTATCATATGCTTAATTGAGGAATCTTTCAGTGCTCGAATAACTCATTTATACCCTGAACATCATTTAGTAATTACGATTAACTCAAGATCAAAACAGTTACCTTTCTATAATATTGAATGAATATCTGGTTAGATTATGAACTAAATGAGGCTTGGAAATGTTAATCGCTGTGTTGTAACTTAGCAGCTGGAAGATATGCTCAGTGCGAGACCTGAATTTTCTGAATATATTTCCATCTCTGGGTTGTCACTGAGTCGTTGCCAGTAGCCCTTAAATGAAATATCTATTCAGCGTTCAATAGCTTCTCAATTTTTTCACTTATTAAAGAGAGATATCTGTGATTAGGTGTTCACTTAACAAGAACAAGAAACGGTAAATATTCTTATAACTGTGCGGATGTAATGATTGTTAATTCTATCGAATAAACTAACTCAGTTGTTGTCGGTGTTGATTTTTCTTAATACAAACCATTCAATTCATCTTATTTACTAAATTATTTTGTACATAGATTCAAAAGAAACAAAACAGTGGTAATCGTAAAAAGCTTAATATGCGGGTAAACTAATGCATACATCGAAATTTTATGTAGTTACTGAGACCAAGTTTAGTCAAATATGATTAGATAGAAATAATTACAGTTATTAAGGTCAAACTGACTAAACGTTTACTTAGGTAATACTTAAGAATTTTCTTGTAGTTCACCATAGAGACAAATAAAGAAGGGAAATGTGTATTTAAGCTAAGTGAATAATTAATTCCAGCATAAACATGTAAATAGATGTTCACCAGTTTCGATGACTTATTTAATTTGTTTGTCTCAGATAAGTAACTATGTTCCACAGGAATTCACCTCAATTCAAGATTAGTAAGTTTCAGTCTGTAGAAATGAAAATTATTTCCTTTGACGAAAAAGAAAAACTGATGTCATGTTCACTCATCAAACAGTTGGTTTTTCTAATTTACATATGATATGTATACTATCATTTCTTTACACTGTTAATGAAATGCAATATAAGTTACGTAGATAAAATGAACATATGTTAGTCAATAGTAATTAATCTATTATATTTTGATAAATTCGTTCAAGGAGATAATAACAAATATCATCGGAACTCTTGAAAGATTCTTTAGTTTGTCTAATACTCAAAAAACCTACAGATATGTTTTATCACATTTTTTATATTCTTATAATTATAAATCGTCATTGTACAGTTTGCTTTTTGCCACTTTTACATATTAGTGTAATCCAGAATAATCTCTTCTGCACATCTCTTTAGATATACCTTTTAAAGTTCTAATTAAATCACTTTACGAAACGAAGAAAATTATCTATTAGGACTACTT